ATGAGTTTCCATTAACAGGGGGAACGACTTATGACTAGGGTTCATTTAGGATTTAGGGTTTAGGTCCCACCCCTTTTTGGAAGCTGCAAGGCGAATTCTCTCAAAAAAGATCTGCGAAACACAGCGCAGTGGCCAAGGGCCACTCACTGAAATGATTTGGCACAGCCTGCAGGCACATCGTGATTTTGCGGGTTTCCAAAATTAGGGGTACCTTTTGGGGCCCCCCATAATCATACAAGAGTTTATACTTTGAAGGGTCTATGTCGCGCCCCATGCTATTACGACAACGACCATTTTTGACAAGAAGGGGTACATCGTTTTGATGATGATGGTTGCCGTCACCTTTGTAGCCAAAAACATTAGGGTTTAGGGTTTAGGGTTTAGGGAACCCTAAATCCTAAACGCCCTAAAGCCTAAACCCCCAAACCTTAAACCCCTGAACCTTCAACTGCTAAGCCTTTTGTCATACTCCAAGGAAGCTCTCCAACCCCAAATCCTTGAATCACAGCCCCCAAATCCAAAGACCCTGATGTAAGGAGTTTGGATCAAGGCAACACCCTAAACCCTAAACCAATGAGCTGCAGTCCCATTCTAGATCACTAAAGGGATCTACATGTCAACTCTGAATGAGTGGTAACTCTAGTGTTGAAAGTAGCTCGTATGAGCCATAGTCTAAACTGCTGAGAGGGGGCTAGATGGGAGGATTTTATAGGAGAGTATGATAATCGTTGTGAAGGGGGGAGGAGAGTATGATAATCGTTGTGAAGGGGGGTACTAGGAGTTTAGACTATGGCTCATATGATCCGTATAAACGTCTAGAAAATCTCAATTCCATTTCATTTTCCATGCTCTTTTCCATTTGACTCTCCTTCGTTGCGGGTTCAAGCTTTGGTTTAGGGTAACCCCTGCCCCTCATAATGTCACCACAAGGCACCCCACTTAAACCTCATGTTTCGGAGGTATGTAATGGTTACATAGGGGTTGCAAAGGCATATATGGGGAGCGGGGGGGGTCATATACAGAGATACCTTCCAAAATTCCAAGATGAGGGCTGTAAGCCCTTTGTACAACCCGTCTGCCTCTAAGTGGGCGCAGTTGCATAACTACATGCGCAGGTACCGCGCCTCTCGGCGTACCCATACATGCTGAGATGCACGCATACATATGCGCATGCATACATACAAATCTGTACTCAGCTGCGCCTACACTCATACGTATGAGCTAGAATTTTAACTCCTAGCATCCCCCTTAGCTCGCCTACCCTCATACGTATGAGCTAGAATCTAAACTCCGAGCATCCCCATCAATAACAACTACTGTAGAATACTCCCCCATATAGGTGCCCTACACAACCACCCCTTTGAGGAGTGTAGACCCTAAACCCTAAATAACCCCTTTAAGGACTTTAGACTATAGCTCATATATGTGCAATTGTGCACATTCGTGTGTACATCGATGCGGTAAGAGTCTCCTGATCCTAATACAAAAAGCCCCCCCCCCCTGAATGTGAAGTATAGTTCCCAGTTTAGGGTTTGGGGTTTAGGGCCACCCCCTCAATGTGAAGTATAGTCCCCACAACTCATAATATACAACAATGGGAATATTCTCCCTTAATATGAAGTGTAGTCCCAATAAATTATCATATACCAAACTGGGAATTTAATATCAGCGAATGTGGGGGGGGGGGGTGTTAATCTTGGGGCAAGGAGATTACAATTACATATAATCAGCGGTTCCCCAACTAGCCCCCTCTACACCCCGCTAGGTTCCCCTTATGTAAGCTTAATTCGTCGGCTTTGAACTTGGCCACATACACTGCCGGGGACTATGCGTTTAGTCAAGCCTAAGTAAGTATCCCTAAATAAACTTGATTAAGGGGGAACCTAGGGGGTAGCATAGACGGGGGTAGTAGGGGAACCCGTGATGTAAGGGGTCTGAGGCTGGAGGAATGGGCCTGAATATGAACCCTTCGCCCTTTGAGGAGCACCAGGGGCTCTCAAGGTTTTATATGGCGAGCAGAAAGGTGGGTAATGCTGGGTACTTTAGGGACCAAACCCTAACTCTAAACCCTAAATCGTCTAATCCCCAAACCCTAAAGCCGGGCGCTGCTACCTGACCTTGAACTCTATTTCCTATAACCCCAAACTCGATTCCCTTAACCTCAAAATGAAGTCGTAATTTCAGAGCTCTAAGCCCTATAACCCTTTGGAGTTTAGGGTTTAAGTTTCGGGCTTAGGATTGGGGGTGTAGGCTTTAGGGTTCAGAGCTTAGGATTTGGGGTTGGCTTAGGAGTAAGGGTTCAGGGTATAGGGCTTAGGGCTCAGGAGCGCTAAAGGCCTAGGACAAGGCGGCAAGCAGCAGCGAAGTGGCCAGCAAGGCGCCTGCCAACCTCTGATTGTTCAGGGTTTAGGGATCAAGGATGAGGGTTTAGGGGTTCGGTTTCTTTGAATCGGACCTTTTCTCCTCCCATTGGGGTTTAGGCATTAGGGATTAAGGATTAGTGTTTAGGGATTTGGAATTAAGGGGTTTCGGGGCTAATTAGGGTTTAGGGATTAGGGATTAGGGCTTGGGGTTTAGGGATTAGGTTTTATGTGCCTGCTTTAGGATTTAGAAGTGTTTGAGGGCTGAGGGTATCCGTACTAGGTCTGAGACCACTTCCTGTGCTTGAGCTCCCCCTTTCTCTCGGCAAGCTTCATCTCTGGGCGCCACCCCAAACTTCCAACCCCTGCAGGCTGCTTACGCCATTAACCTAAAAGCCTCTCGCCCCACCTGTAACCAACAAGTCCAAAGCTCCCCAGGCCCTGTTCACAAACTGATCTGGATGGGTTTCCCGTTTCTGGACCATTGGACCGTTTGGGGAGTGGGGCTTGGGGGTAGGATTCACAAAGATGAGGGCCTAGGCTTTGGAGCTTAGAGCTTAATTAGGGCTTGGGGCAAACCCTAAACCCTAAACCTGGGGGCCGGGGTTTGACTACAGTTGGGTGCTAATTTTAGGGGCCGCGGGCGCTAATTAGTGCGAAGGGGGACTTCTCGAGAGCTTACTTACAAGTACCGGTCGAAAATCCAAAGCCGAAACCGCAGACCCTTACAGTCCCTTTATATGTTATCATAAGACTCCCATATACCCCATATTCTATCTACTTAAGGAGGACTATAACCCCACACCCGAACCGTCTAAACAGCAAACCTCCCACCGCCCTAATATTGACTTTTACCATAGATTATACGGGGGGTTCCCACAATTACGGGTACCTTTTCTGGGTGTCCCAATAAGGGTCCCCCTGTTTAGGGAAACTACCATATTGTACCGTATGGAGAATTTTTTCGTACAAGGGCGGGGTGGGAATATTTAAGATTACGGGGACTGGATTATTCATTCTGCGTACGACAGAGGGTACGCTCAAGACCCTAAACCCTAAACTCCAAACCCGAAGCAACCCCAAACCCCAAACCCTAAACCCTACAATCTGCTACAGCTATGCTGACAAGAGCTCAAGACATGACTATCCAGGATATGACAAGACTGAAGCTGAAACCCTAAATCCTAAACCCTACGTCCTAGACCCTAAGCCCTAAATCCTAAACCCTAAATCCTAAACCCTAAATCCGAGAAAAAAAAACTACATCCTAAACACTAAGCCCTAATTCCTAAATCCTGAAACTCCTAAAATCCTAAACCCTAAGCCCTTAATCCTACACCCTAAATCCCAACAGTCCTTAATCCTGAACCCTAAGCCCTAAACCCTAAACGCAGGTGGGTAATGGATGGGTTTACCCTATAAACCCGAAGTCACAAGTCAGGAAGGGGAGTAAGGCGGTGCGCCCTCCAAACAGTAGGTCGGCTTCTAGTTCCCAGAAGCCACAACAGCCAATGCTGCCGCACTAAAACCCCACCTGACCTTATCGTACTAAAGTGCCATACTTCTCAAGGTATAAGGCACTTAGCGTCATGCAGGATTTTTAATATCCAACGTATAGTGGGCTTGCGTGACTGATTTGGTCAGATATTGGTGAGAACCGAAAGACTCAAGAAAGTTATCCACTCGTGACCCAAAACGCTGCCCACATGTCTATCTAAACCCTAAACCCTAAACCCTAAAGCCCTGAACCCTATCAGGCCCCTACACTCTCTCGCGGGCCACGAACACCCCTGCAATGCATGCGAGCATCCCCTTTGAAGCAGCTGTTGATGCATCTGCATCAGGCAACGAAGGCGCCACGTTGGCCTAAGTCAGGATGAGGATGTGGGAACTAGAGGTGCTCAAACTCAAAGCCTCCAGCCTCCCAAGCTCCAACTTCCTGAAACCACCATGAGTATCATTCTACTTACCTCCAGGGATCAGGTCTTGAGATATATGTATATATATATATATTGCAACGCCATCAAGGTCATTTGGCAATTATGAAAGACTACAGCTCATCAGCAGGCTGTAACACGTGCCTTCTCCGACCTAGCTGGGGATCCAATATAAGGGCCTAAACCAAGACAATACATCTCGAAGTCGGCTGAAAGTACGCTATACCATGCTCCTGTAAAAAACTAGGACCGCAGCACTGGTAATATGTAGGCCGGCCCGTGTAGAACCCTGGACCCACTGCCAGAACAAATCTGGGGGGGTTCCCAACACTTTGGGGGCCCTCAACAACCATCGAACTCGGCAACATCTTGTAGTTTCCACTACTGAGTAGAGAGGACCACCAACGGGGACCAATGCTTACACACACACACCCTGAACTTCTGAACCTTACACCATAAATTTCAAGCCCTGAATCCCGGAACCCTAAATCCCTACCCCTAAATCCGCGCACCCCGAACTTCGTAAATACCCAAATCCCAAATCCCCAAACTATGTCTTCCCATGCCATCCTTTGGGACGCGCACCCCACGTCCCTCCGGACCCTCCAACCCTAAACCCTTAACCCCCAAACCCTAAACCCTAAACCCCTAAACCCCCAAACCCTACACCCTAAACCCTAAACCCTACCTACTTCCTAAGCCCCTATGTATCAAGCCCAGTCGCCCACTCCGCAGGCGCTTTGCACTCGAACTTCTGCGTCAGGGTGCTAAGGCACACCAGGTTCCTTTCTTTTTGGGCTTAGGGTTTAGGGATTAGGGTGTAGATATATATACATATATATATATATATGGCAGTCGAGGTTTAGGGATTGATTACGGAATTGGAATTTGGATTCAAGCTGTTCTTCTTGGGGGGGTTAGGAAATAGGGTTAAGGTTTTAGGGCACTTTTACGTGGATAATGGAGGGCTGGATCTTTAGAGTAATCAGCCCCTACACAAATCCCCACGATGAAGCCTACTTTTCCCCAAGACCAATCACTAAATGTTCGGGGGACAGACCAACAATTTGGTATAAAGAGGGCTTGGGTTACCCTAAACCGTAAGTCCTAAACCCTAAACCTTCAGGTTTAGCTTTGGGCATGTTGGGCTTACACTTGGGGTATGATACTTTGATTCTGGGCTGAAGCACGCCAGGCCGCTTCAGTATTGACATTTCAGGTGCAGAAGTTTCAGATGTGGAGCCTAGGGCTGGGACACTCAATTTCTTGATAGTTTCCGGCGTCCGGCTTGCAAGCAAGTTCTGGCGTGAAATGGAACCCGCCTAAGCTGTTCTTGCACTGTCCTACAATGGCATCCAAAGTCTTCAGGGTAAAACATGCCTCAGCTACAGAAGGGGACCTCAGTTCTGGCACCATGGCATTTCAAGCCAGATGTTGTGGCTGGACAAAATTCTGCGTACCACAAAATCGAACCCTAAATCCTAAACCAGAATTTGCCCGTCAACCATCTGGCATTTCGGTGAAGAACCTCCGCCTGAACCCCCGAAAGTATGTAGCATAGTTGGGTTTAGGGTCTAGGGTAAAAGTATGTAGTATAATGGGGCCTTTGGCTATTTTGAGGGTTGAAGGCCATTGCTTTACCTACTTTTGGGGTCCAGGTAGGACAACAAGGCATTCTGGCAAGTAGATGTGCCTGCATCCCGAAAGCACATAAACAGATAGCCGACAATCCCATGCAAAAGAGACTGTCTACAAACAGCACAGAGGGTACATTAGGGTCCACACTGCGGAAGTGGTTGTTGGGGCGGCTTAGGGATTTTAGGGATTAGGGTTTGGGGCTTCTGGCTGTTCAGCTTCTCAGGTATGTCCGCAAACCTCGACGATAGGCCTATGCGAAGTGGCATCCCCCTGACCCTTTCTGAACTGCCACGCCCGCAACCCCAAATCGTAACCAGTAGCCTTAAACCCTAGACCCTAAGCCCTACGACCCAACCCTCCATCATACCCTACAAGTGTTTGGAGTCGGGTCTTCTGTAGTTTATTGGGGATATCTAATTTTGGGGTCGTCGGGAGCTTTACCTCAACTAAACCCTCAACCCGAAACCCTGTCGGGCCAGGGGATTAATTTATCTGCCCTGCAGGGTTAAGGGTTCAGAGTTTAGTTTCTTTGCAGTACTGAGTTTAGGAACTGCAGGGACTACATGAGCCCCAGGTAGTCTGAAGCAAGGTCTACGTAGGTCCTGCTTGTGGGGCCTGAGGGTACTTAGGGGACAAGGTAGGGTTTTGATTGAGTTTAGGCTTCAAGGTTTAGGGTTTTGAGGTGCCCTCCCCGCCCCGAACCTCTAGAAGGTTCTTCTTTTGCAGCCAAGGCCACAAATGAGGAGCTACCGCCCGCCAACGGCTCAGTGCGAATCCTCAACTCCCTGTGCCTACATTAACTCCAAACCCTTGCAATCAACAATACCCTAAACCCTAAACCCAGAGTTATCCTGTGATTGTGGTTCGAGAGTACTACGTATCCCTGTAACATCTGAGGCGTCCGTCCTAAGCCCCCTAAATCCCCATACGTATATCATGGGTCCCCCTACTACACCCCCCCTGTCAATGAAGGTTATTTTAAGCGTAATTATCCCTAAACCCTAAACCCTAAGCCCTAAACCCTCAACCCCAAACCCTACACCCTAAACCCTCAACCCTAAACCCTAAGCCTCAAATCCTCAACCCCGAAACCTAGACTCTCATCCCCTAAACTTGCCACCAATATTCAAAACTCAAAAAAAACTCTCTGCCGAGTCTCTGCTGTGAGGATGTACCATGGTAAGCCACGTTCATGGTAGGATCTGAGTCCATCCAAAGAATGGGGTCACATGAGTAGCGTTTTTCTGGGTGGTTGAACCCAGTAAATAGTAGTCTTTGTTCAGAATACCATGCCCAAAAGGAGGCCCTAAACCCTAAACCCTAACCCTCAGCCCTAAACCCTAAACCCTAAATCTTAATGTAGATTAGGTACCATAGTATCCCAAAATAAAATACTACTCGCATGCGGTTTAGGGTACAGGGTGTAGAGGTTTAGATCTGAGATTCCCCAGAGGTTTAGGGCTGAGGATTAGGGTTTAGGGTTTAGGGCTGAGGATTAGGGTTTAAGGTTAAGGGTTTAGGGCTGAGGAGTAGGGTTTAGGGTTCAGGGTTTAGGGCTGAGGATTAGGGTTTACGGTTTAGGGCTTAGGGCTGAGGATTAGGGTTTAGGGTTTAGGGCTGAGGATTGGGGTTTAAGGTTAAGGGTTTAG